AAAAAAAAAAAAAAAGAAACATTTCTGAGTTTAGGGACTGTTTTTTGCTAATACTGCTTTGCCTGGAACTCCAGGAGACTAGTGCTGGCATGACCACTAGTTGTGTCTGGAGTTGAGTACTACCACTAAGCCCCCTGTGTGTTGGAAAGACTTCCCCCTAAATCCCTCAGAGCACATTGAGGCATCACCTGTCTGGGTGTGGAGAGAACTGGAGAAGGGCTTTGGAACCGATAGGGGTCCTTCCATAACTAGATAAGGGGAAAGGAGAGAGACAAATGAAAGGATAGGTTTACCAGTTCTCCATTCTAATGCAGGATCTCTGAAGTGCTCATTGGGGTGGGGTCATCAGAGTAAAGTTTATGTTTTTTGTTTTCGATGTGTTCCTGGCACCACGGCAATTTCTCGTGCAGAATATTTGCATAGCACTGTCCTAAGTTGGACGGAGGTAGCAGACTGACCCTGGGCTTGACTGCATCAAAATGAAATGTCACATTTGGTGTCAAATAAATATTAGCTGCTATGAAGTATGACTGGTTTTTTGTGTTCCAAAATTAAAATAGGAAGTAAATTTTTGAATTTTTTTCCTTTCTAGGGAGAAGCTGATATTCATGGTGAGTACTTCTGAAGACCAAATTTCTGGCTCTGTCAGTGGTTTTAGGACAGATGTGAATTTTGATTTAAATCATGTCAGCTAGGCGCAGTGGTTCACGCCTGTAATCCCAGCACTTTGGGAGGCCAAAGCAGGTGGATCCCGTGGTCAGCAGTTCAAGACCAGCCTGGCCAAGATGGTGAAACTCTGTCTCTATTATAAATACAAAATTAGTCAGGCGTGGTGCCAGGCACCTGTAATCCCAGCTCTTCTGAAGGCTGAGGTAGGAGAATCACTTGAACCTGAGGGGCAGAGTGAGCTGAGATGGCACCACAGCACTCCAGCCTGGGTGACAAAGCAAGACCCCATCTCTAAATAAATAAATAAAATCATGTCTTGGGGAAGGAGACTGGGGAGTGAAACCTGGCTGTGCCCCAAGTGCTGCCATCCTCTGGGTGGAGAGGAAACGAAAATGAAACTGGAAAGTCAGTAAACATGGCCACATTCTTAATCTGCCAGTAATGTGATCAATGCTAGAAATGTAATAGAAGAGAAAAATTGGAGAATCCTTTAAAATTACATATATTGACTGGGCGTGGTGGCTCACGCCTGTAATCTCAACACTTTGGGAGGCTGAGGCAGGCAGATTGCTTGAGCCCAGGAGTTCAAGACCAGCCTGGGAAACATGGTGAAACACCATCTCTATAAAAAAAGTACAAAATAGCCTGGCATGGTGGCACATGCCTGTAATCCAACTACCCAGGAGGCTCAGGTGGGAGGACTGCTTGAGCCCAGGACGTGGAGGTTGCAGTGAGCAGAGATCACACCATTATACTCCAGTCTGGGTGACAGAGTGAGACCTTGCCTCAAAAAAATAAACCCAAATATATCTATACTCAAACACACCCACATTTAATCAGGTCAGTATTGGTTACACTTAATGAGAGCTTTTTTTTTTTTTTTGAGATCAGGTGTCTCTCTGTCACCAAGGCTGGAGTGCAGTGGGTGATCACAGCTCACTGTGGCCTTGACCTCAGCTGATCCGCCTACCTCAGCCTCCTAAGTAGCTGGGACTATAGGTGTATGCCACCACACCTTGCTAATTTCTTTTTATTTTTAGTAGAGATGAGGTCTCACTATGTTTCCCAGGCTGGTCTCGAACTCGTGAGCTTAAGTGATCCTTCCACCTCAGCTTCCCCAAAGTGTTGGTATTACAGGCATGAGCCATCCCAGCTGAGAGCTTTTTGCATTTATGTACTTATTGTATTTATGTATATACTAGCCAAGTGCAGGATTGAGAAAAGGAGAAAGCTGGACCTGTAACTATGAACAATCCAGATAACTCCCACCCAGAGAGAGCTTTTTAAGATAAGCATTTCAAGCTCAGCGCACAGCATCCAATTTACAAAGTTCATTTGTTTTTATAGGGATGTTGCTTATTCAGCAACACATTGGTTACTTGGTGATTTTGTAAATAATGATTTAGGGAGCAAATGTAAATTTTGAGCTGACCATCCATATTACCAATTACAGGTAGAAATAAGCTGTAATTATTGACTTAATTACCTTAAGTCTTGGAAGTATTTGTTGGCATTTCTTTAACAAGTGCTGGAGAACTGCTGATGAATGCGAGGCTGACAAGTATCAGGCAGCAGCAGTCCGTGAGTGCGGCAGTCACAAGGCCCTCTGGTCTAGACAGAAGCAGCAGCTTCCTCTTAAGGCCTTTTCCTACCCTTATGTTTTATGGTGTAGTGCTTTCAAGGACACACAGAGCCGGGCGCGGTGGCTCACGCCTGTAATCCCAGCACTTTGGGAGGCCAAGGCGGGTGGATCACGAGGTCAAGAGATCGAGACCGTCCTGGTCAACATGGTGAAACCCCGTCTGTACTAAAA